AACAACCTCGAGCTACCATGGTTACATCCGTTCCTCCAGGAATGGAACAAAGACCACAAACCAAGACACAGTGAGAAGTCACTGCTGGGCAGACCAGCCTTCAAGTCCAAGGTCACTGGGCAGGACCTGTTGTCCCCTTCTCAAGCTCTTCATGGTCATGATGTGTATTATCAGATTTCTCATGTTCCCAGTGACAGGAGGAGAAGGAAGAAGCCCAGAAAGCTGGAGGGGCCTTATAAAATTACACTGCTCTGTTTTCCTCACTCTAGATCCCAAGTACACATTTCCCTCAAAGCTCACGAGATGGGACATTCAGCTTAGGGCAACTGCTTCCCATTCCTCAGTGAGTTCGGTTACAGTCACCACACACACTGAGACACTGAGCACCAACACATAGTCCTGTGGACCCTGGCTCCTCTATTTAAGATGGCCAGCACAGTTTGTAATAGCTAAAACTTGGAAGCAGCCCAGATGCCCATCAACTGGAGACTGGATAAAGAAGATGTGGTTTTTTTATAAGATGGAGTACTACTCAGCCATAAAGAATGAGAAATTAGAGACATTTATAGCTAAATGGATGCACATTGAGGAGATACTCCTAAGTGAAATAAATAGGACACACACGTAAAAATACTGAAGTTTCTCTGGTGTGAGAAACTGAAAGTGTAAATAAGGACTAAAAGGTATAATGGATAGTGTGAAATAGGAAGAAAAGGGGCAAAGGGGAAGTGGGAGGGGTAGGGGAAAGGAAAGAAGGGAATGGAATTAATATCAGAAAATGGAAAAATGGAAACAAAGTCTTTGTAAATAGGGAGGGATGGAGGAGTTGAAGGGAAGGCAGGGGAAGGGGGAAAAAATAAGAACCAAGATACATCATGTAAAGACACAAGTTCGCAATGATAAATGTAAATATATTGTATACCTAAAATGTACCAATAAAAGAATTTAAGGGGGAAAAAAAAAGATGGCCAGGAAAAGCTTAGAGAATGATTGGAATTTTCCCTGAGAAGCATTGGAAAGCACTATCATCATTAAAGGAATAAGACCTTAGCAAGCAAGGAAATTTGCTTTCCGTAAAGGACTAATTTCCTGTGGTTTCACTGACCTTGGGTTTCTACCTAACAGTGGAAGGGGTGTTTCATTCATGGTCTTTTCAGAGAACAAGCCCTCACTGCAGGTCAGGACCCCTGCCACCCTGAAGATGGCTTTGTGAGAATTAGGAAAAGATGTCACTTCCTCAGTACATTTATTTTAATCTACCAAAACACTGCCATAATATGCTGATTTTGTTAGGCTGACATTTAACTGCAAAAAACCATCATCATAAATATCACAAGTCTACAATGTCTATAAAATGAACAGTGCCCCTGCATCAGTCATCTGTTACTGCCTAACAAACAATATTGAAGCTTCTTGGCTTAAAGTGAGAATAAGCATTTTTCATTTCACAGCTTCTGTGGGTTAGAAACTCAGGAGAAGCTGAACTGAGTGGTCCAGCTTCTCTCATGAAGGTGCCATCAAGCTGTCAGCAGGGGGCGACATGAGTGCAAGGTCAGAGTGGACAGGGAGAGCCACTCACACAGCTGGCTGTTTCCAGGCGCCTTGACCTCACATGGCCCTCTCCTGGCTTGAGCATCCTCCCTGTGTGGCCCCTAGGTTCCCCTGAATGAGTGATCAAGCAAAGCTGAAACAGCCAGCCATGACTCGCATGACCCCACATCAGAGGTCACCTGTCATCACTCCTGCAGATCTTATTGACCACCCTGTTTATGTGAAGGGGAGCACACAAAAGCATAAAATCCCACCATCAAGAGGCAGAAACCACTGGGACTATCTTTGAACCTACTACTGCAACCCCTTAGATGAGATGCCTTTCTATGGTGAACAACCTGTAAAACTTTAATTTCAGCACTAATTATTAGAACACCCCTTGCTATAGACCCTCACAAACTATATGGCAGGACTGTGCCCAGCATTTAATGCTACTGATGGCAGTATCTGCCCTCAAGCAGCTTATAATCTAGCAGAGATGTCAGACATACCTATCACTGTTTATAATACAAGACAGAGTCAAATACAGTAAATGACTGGAATCATCAGGTGTCCAGAAGACCAAGGGTTGGCTGGAAAGCCTTGGCACCTGAAGTGAGGGATGGCAAAGGGGACATCTGAGTGGAACTAGAGTGTTGTGGCATGTGGACCATTGGTGATACATCATATTGGATGCTTTCCCACAAGAGGTCAGCATGAGCAAATGCTTGGAGGCTGAGAACTCTATGTTTGGGGATTAAGAAGAGGAGGTGCAGAGGTACATTTAGGGCACGCTGGAGGGGAAGGTTAGTGCCACTCACAGCTGTGTCAAAAAGGGATGGGAAAGCCTCATTGAGCTTTGCCTCTCTTTCCTCTCCTCCTTTCCCTTCCACTGGCAGAGGGTTGGCAAAGCTACCAGAAAACGGCCACTGCCACGAAGCAGGGGAGGCTGCATGGGGAGCCAGTGAGCAACTGTGAAGGGCCTGGGAGGTGTTCGAGCTCCACTTCTGAGGCCAGACCAGCATGCCTGGGGGGTTTCAGTAGGCCCTGCCTGCCCCTTCCGGCCTGGCCTCCCTGGAAGGCAGGGCTACTCGCCCCATGCCAACCTCAGTCCTTCCCACTCTCTGACACAAGGAGTGCCTGGGCCCCTCTGAGTACCCACTGTCCCAGCCAGTCACTCTCACTTGGTGACAGCAGAGATGACTGGCCATTCTTAAGGACCTTTACTGCCAGAGGCAGGAGTTAAAGCTGGCTATTGATTATTATGCATAAAGTGGCTATGGATATTTGTACAGAGGTTATTGTGCAGACAAAGTTTTTCATTTCCCTGAGGTAAACGTTCAAGAATGCAATCACTGAGTACCATGGTTACATATTTAGTTTTTATGAAACTGCCATGCATTTTCCAGAGTGGCTGTACCATTTTACACTCCCATCAGCAATGCACAAGTTATCCATGTCCTCCACATCCTCACAAGCATTTGGTCTTGTCACTATTTTATATTTTAGCTACTCTAATAGGTATGTGGCAATATCTCATTATGGTTTTAATTTGCATTTCTGTAATGGTTAACAATGTTGAACATTTTTTTTAAAAAATAAGATGGCTTATTTGCGGTCTGTATATCCTCTTTGCTGAAACATGCTGTTTTTACCATAGCTGTTATGGTCCCACGAGGCCTGTCAGAGCAAGAGCCTTCTTGGTTTGTTCTCTGCACATCCTCAGAGCCCAGTTTAGTGCTTGGCAGAAGGGGCAAACTCAATGACTATGTCAAGGAAACAAAGGCCTGGCCTGTGGGTCTTTGCCCTTTTAAAGATGAGAAGGTGCGGGAGCAATGGAACCTTAGCTCTGGGAAACCTTCTGAGCACCTGGGCAGGTGGGATTGCTGAGGGACGGTCCAGGCTGTTCCAGGACAGAGGAGAAGGCAGGGAAGGGAAGGAGCACTCAGCACCCTGTGTGCCCACAGGTCCCCTGGGGCCTCCACAGTAGGGTCTGCACTTCTCGCTCCTCCCTTCCCCTGCTTCTGCCTTCCCAGGGCTGAAACTTCCAGGAGATAAACATGGGAGGATAATTTCCTACTGAGACATGGGACTTACAGGTTTTCTTGTTCTTTTTCTTTTCTCCTCATTTGTGGCAAGATAAGGGTCAGACCACATTCAGACTTTGCCACCAGTAGAAGGGTCCTGCAGGTCTTAGAAAAGCCAGTTTTTGTCCAGGTTGAAAATGTTAACAGACTGGGACTTGTGCTTCCGAATGGAAGGAATGCCGGTCACCCTCTGCCCTACCCTACTCTTTCCTGATAGTCACAACATACAGATGCTCCAGGATACTAATGGGGCTACAGTCCCCAAATGTATCATGCGTAGAAAAATATTGTAAGTCAAAAATGCATTTACTACACCTGCCACCCAACATCATAGCTCAGCCTACCCCACCTTAAACACGCTCAGAACACTTAGTATTAGCTTATAGTTGGACAAAGTCATCTAACACAAAGCCTATTTTATAATTAAGTGTTGAATATCTCCTGTAATTTATTGACTACTGTACTGAAAGTGAAAAATAGAATGGCTATGTGGCTTCACTTTCACACCATCATAAAGTTGAAAAATGGTGTCCAACCATCTTAAGTCTGGGACCATCCATAATGACATGGTGACTCAGAAGGGTTTCTCCCCGAAGAGGTTGATGCATCCATGAGGCTAACAGAATATGGTCATGATAAATTAATTAAAAGTGCACTTGCATCTATATTGATTTTCCTGTCTATTTATAAGTGAAATGACAGACATACATATAGACTGTATTAAAAGAAAAAAGTATTCAAAGGAAAAAAAGCAAGAATTGCAAATAAAAGGGAATTCCATCAGCTCTGATAAAGCCAGGAATAAATTCAGGAAGCAAAACATATCCCACCAAATCCCCATTCACTTGCTAAAACTGGGCCACAAAAGTCGTTTTAAACTTCCTGGTAGCCAGTGCAAAATGTGAGTCTGCTACAAAGTCCAAGGACCTGTGAGACAAATGAGAGCATGTTCTTGGCAGAAGCACCACATGGTCCTTGTGTAAGATGTGGGCACTGTGCCCAGAGTGCACGGAACCACTAGGTTTCATGTGGCTCTTTGTCCTGTGTTCTGCAATTCCACATTAAAAAAAAAAAAAGTGGAATTCAGTGAACCATGCCCAGGAAAAGCTGCTACAGCTTTTGGTGCAGAGCTGATGCCTGCTGTCCAGTGAGACACTAACGCCAAGCTTCCCAGAGTGCAGAGAAAAGCCCCAGCTTATGTCAGGCTGTGAATTTCAGGTGAGGCTTGGCAAAGCTGAGAGGTAGAATAGCCATATCTCTGGTGACAGGGAACCCCTTAAGCAAAGTAGGGGTGCGGCAAGCAAGTAGTCCAGAGTCCCAGAGCTGATTCCCCTCCTGGGGCATGCTGCTAACCACATTGGTCCTCTCTGTGTGTCCCTGCAGGGCTCTGGCTGAGAACATGGCCAATGGCATTGACGAGCTGATCGGCATTCCCTTCCCCAACCACAGCAGTGAGGTGCTGTGCAGTCTCAACGAGCAGCGGCACGCCGGGCTACTGTGCGATGTGCTCCTGGTAGTGCAGGAGCAGGAGTACCGCACACACCGCTCTGTCCTGGCAGCCTGCAGCAAGTACTTCAAGAAGCTCTTCACAGCCGGCAGCCTAGCCAGCCAGCCCTACGTCTATGAGATCGACTTTGTCCAGCCCGAGGCTCTGGCCGCCATCCTGGAGTTCGCCTACACCTCCACACTCACCATCACCGCCTCCAATGTCAAGCACATCCTCAATGCTGCCAGGATGCTGGAGATCCAGTGCATCGTGAATGTGTGCCTGGAGATCATGGAGCCCGGTGGTGATGGTGGCGAGGAGGATGACAAAGAGGATGATGATGATGATGAAGATGACGATGAGGAGGAGGATGAAGAGGAGGAGGAAGAGGAAGAAGAGGATGATGATGAAGATACGGAGGACTTTGCTGACCAAGAAAACTTGCCTGACCCCCAGGACATCAACTGCCACCAAAGCCCCTCCAAGACGGACCATCTCACAGAGAAGGCCTATTCAGACACACCCAGGGACTTCCCTGATTCCTTCCAGGCTGGCAGCCCTGGCCATCTGGGTGTGATCCGGGACTTCTCCATTGAGTCTCTGCTGAGGGAGAACCTGTATCCCAAAGCCAACATCCCTGACAGGAGACCCTCCTTATCTCCATTTGCCCCAGATTTCTTCCCACACCTTTGGCCAGGGGACTTCGGTGCCTTTGCCCAGCTGCCTGAGCAGCCAATGGACAGTGGGCCACTGGATCTGGTCATCAAGAACCGGAAGATCAAGGAGGAGGAGAAGGAGGAGTTGCCGCCCCCCCCACCCCCACCCTTCCCTAGTGACTTCTTCAAGGACATCTTCCCTGACCTGCCTGGGGGGCCGCTGGGCCCTATCAAGGCGGAGAATGACTATGGTGCCTATCTCAACTTCCTGAGTGCCACCCATCTGGGGAGCCTCTTCCCACCCTGGCCGCTGGTAGAGGAGCGTAAGCTGAAGCCCAAGGCCTCTCAGCAGTGCCCCATCTGCCACAAAGTCATCATGGGGGCCGGGAAACTACCAAGGCACATGAGGACCCACACCGGGGAGAAGCCATACATGTGCAACATCTGCGAGGTCCGCTTCACCAGGTGCGAAACTGTAGCCAAGGGTAGGGTAAGGATTCTGGAAACAGGGCCGGAAGCTGGGGGGTGACATCAGAAAGACACATGGAGGGCCAGGGATGGAAAGAGAGCCCCAGATTGAGCCTAGACACACATCAAGCTCATGGCTAGGAGGGATGGTAGCTATTAACCTATGGGCTGACTTTCAAACCCATTTTAAGAGCTAAAATATTCTCTCAAAAACAGTGTTAAATGGGAGCCCAGGACAATAAGACAGGTCAGAGCAGAGCTGTTCTAATAAGACAGAGGTGAGGGACCTCAGTACCGAGTCCACATGGCCTTCCTGTCTCCTTCCCCACTGCATATCTATGGGAGCCCTGTTGGAGGCTCCCCATGGAGTACAGTCCTTTATTTCATTGAAAGAAGCAGCAGCAACTCTTTATGAAGCAGGATCTATGTGTTATGTGCCAGGGATGATGGGGAAGCACTATTGCTTTTGTTTCTAGTCCATCTCCCAGTGGCTAGCTGACCACTTGTAAGTGCAGCTGGACAGTGGCAGAGCCGGGACTTAGGTTATCAGTCCATATGTGATGGCCAAGTCTGGACAGATCCCTATTGGCCTCTTCCATCTCCCTTTAGGGATGAGCTTTTTTTTACATCTCCCTTTTGCCTGTCCATGTTAAGAAGAAGGATAACTCTATTCTATTATAAGATTTGAAAGGAACATATGACAAACTTCATCTTCAGAGACACCATCCCATTCAGCAGATGTGTTATGCACCTTTCCTGTGCAGCAATTTTTGTAGTCAAAACTGAAAGGTGGGATGGGAGCTGTCTGCTGATAGGTTTTTGAAAGGCCTCAGTTGTTGGAAAATGTGGCCTGTTGGTGCCATCTGTGGCCCTTGGTATTCTAGCCATGCACAGTGGAGAGAGGTTGGGTGACTGGCCTCACATCAGTGCCTGGTCATTTTATGTGTGGGATGTGGACAAAGCCTGGTGACACCTGTCATATAGCCATGACCTGTGAGACTAGGTCCTTCCCCCACTGCTACTGTCACTTCAAAGAACTCACCTTGAAACCCCCAAACTTGTTCTAACCATGGACTATCACCCTAAATCCTCTTGGAAATGTGCCTTTGGGGATTGTTGGAGGCTCATTGTTTGGATTTTCCCTCCGTGGGCCCAAGGTTTTGGCCTTAGAAAGTGAAGCGAAATTCGTGAATCAGGTTGAATATCAAATCAAGGACTGTGCTTTTCCAGGATTAAAAAGGTAAGTCCTTAAACAGATGCAATCTGCCTCCTTGGGTGGCAGGCAGGGAAAACTATCTGGAGTTGCTAGAAGGGTTTCCGAAATACATTCAGGTAGCAGTAGCATTACTAAGCTAGCTCTGTGGCCTTCCCTGGTGATTTTTTTGAAGGAAACACTGATGGCTTCTGTGGCGAATATGGAATCCCACTCACAGCTGCTTCTGTGAGGTTCCCCAAACAGAATCACCCCAGCTGCTTCCAGGTGGCAGTAAAGTGAGAATCTGTAAGTGGAGGGGGCAAGTCTCACATACCCAGGATGTGTCCCCTTCCTCTTAGCAGTAAGTCACTGGGAATGCTAACTTCAGGGTGTTTGATCCTGTTATTCCACAGAGCAGCTGCACCCTGAGTTCCTGAGAGCCACCTCTAGTTTCCCTGATAAGAGCCCTGCCTGCTAATGCCACCTTGGGCAATGCTGTCCTCACTTTCTGTCCCTGTCTTCTCCTAAATGCCCCCACAGGGCTCAGCTAGAATACCTGAAAAAGACTCAACCAAAACCCAGGAAGGTAGGGACATATGCCATCATGCAGGTGATGGCAGAGTTCACATACAGTGCCCTCATTTTCAGCAGGGACCTTGCTCCAGCCTAAGACTCCCAGTGCACTGGGATTGACCTCAAATACTCAGGCTGATCCAAGAAATCCAGCAGCAGCAGCAGCCCAGAGCGCCCTCTCCTCCCTAGTCAGGCCCCTCCTCCCAGATACCCCATGACTGTCCCTTGGCAGATGGCTGCCACTGGGACTACCTCTCCTTTTTCAGGGGACACCCAGGCCAGTGGCTTCCATAGCATATGCATCTCAGGGTACCATATGTGAGCCAGCTGACTCCCCCTTTCCCTTCCTCCCCTCTGGATCCTCCCCATGCCAGCCTTCTGTGAGGTCCACCTTTCCTAGGGAAAGCTTTAAACTTGGCCAGTGACTGCAGACAGATTTCTTGCCCTCTGGATATGGTACATTCCCTGAGAATAGGCCTCCTGGTTTGGAAAGTGATGCAATTTTATATAGGAGAGTGACATTCCAGAATAGTCCCTCCCCGCACATTCCTGATGGTCGCTTAGGGTAGCCTCTGTATCTGCTGTTTCCCTACCCCTCCAGGACAGATCAGCCCTGGGCCAGTTCCAGCCACCCAACCATCTGTCCTGCCTGCCCCCAGGTTACTCCTGGTCAGCAGGATGACACCCATATGGGCCCCCAGGTAGTCTCCAGCTGCAGCATCTGGGATCCAGCTCCCACCACACCTCCCCTCACTTGATTCCCACTGGGCTCTGACCCTCGGAACAAGATCAGACAAGCTCTGGACTCCCTCTCTCAGGAGCAAAGAAAGGCCAGGGGCAGGGGACAGGAAGGGTGGAGACTTGCTGGCCTGCCGCCCATCAAGGACTCTATTTTTCACCATGTGCTGTGGCTGTCCCTGGTGAACACTCCCACCACATTCTTCAGAATCACTGGTCCTTTGCTTCCCGTGCCCTCTCCAGGGATGCCCAGCAAGGATTCTTTCCTTTCCTCCAACAGCGCCAACCCTGACCTGTGCTCGGTGAGATTTTCCTATAACTTTCTGTAGCCAAGTTCATTTGCAGCCTTTTCATGAGGACCTGCTCTTTGGATGAGGCCCACCCCCGCCCCCACCACTATCTGTAACACCTTTCCACTTCCTCCCCACCTGGATATTCTTCAGCAGCTGTGATCAGAAGCTGTGTCAGAAGCTGTGCTTCTCTGACCTGGAATTCCCAGGCTCCCTTGCAAACTGAAACCAAAAGTGCATTGCAGGGGCCTGCCACAGGCAACACATGGACAGGCCCTGAAGGATGGGGAGCATATTGCCCAGGGAGAGTAAGAACTTGGTGGGCGTTTCCTTGCCACCGGACGCTGCAGTGGCCCCTGCCCACTTTCTTAGACCAATGGCAGCATTACTGCCAACTGGTACTGGAGCTTACCTCCTCTCACTTCCCGCTGCATGGGTCCTTGATCATAAGCCATGAGGACCTACCTACCTCCTGCCTGCCACAACAGACCCGTCTGTTGAGAGCTCCTAGAGAGCAAGGTTGGGGGTCTCCCTCCTCAGCCCCTGGATGCCACCTACAGCCTGGCTCACATAGGGTTCCCAGCCTTGTCTGACAGGCAGAGAATAAGGAAAGAAATAGCAAGAATGGCCCCTGAGAAAATAGTTGCCATGGAAGATGGACCTTTCCCAGGATGGCCAGGCTCTGCTCCCTAAGAACTCACTGGTGACAAGCCATGATGTCACCAGTTTTTGTAGAATCCCCTATCAACATCCCCAAAGGCTATGACTTTTAGTGTCCAGCACCCCACCTCCATTAGGCACCAACCCAATGCTGATGGCCCCTTCTCCCTGACAGCTGTCTGCACTCCAAACAAGGCCAGCACCCAGCTCCCTCCCTCCCCTGTCTTTGCTCCCCAGACTGCCCCTCCCACAGCTCTGGGTACCTTGTTAAGATACTGTAATGCCATTAGCACAGCAGCAGGAACAGAGGTGGTCTCAGATCATCACTCACCAGGACATCTGCGTGAATGGTGTTGGGAGACTGGGAGCCTTTCTAGAGGCAAATGCCCAGGCTGAGGGCACAGCCCTCTCCTACTCAGGGAATGAGCTCATGAGGACTTGAACATCTTTCCTGACCATGAGCCCCTCCAAGTCAGAAGGGGCCCCACGTATTAGGCTTGAGTGCCTGTGTCCTTGGCTGGGTCTCTGATGCAGGGAAATGGAATGAGATGACAGATAAGGGGAAGTAGGACCCAGGGGAAGGGGACAGGAAGGGTAGAGAGGATGCATCACATTTGGAGTTGGGGAGTTGGGGAGTTCTAAAATTGGCCCTGCTGGTCATTGATCAGTCACCAAACTCACCACAAGTACTCATTCTGCCTACTTGCAGTGTTATGCAGCTTGCAGAGTACAATAAGAATGTCCAACAGGTATGTTTCAAAGCAGGTACCACTGCTACCCCAATGAAAGAGCCATCATTGAATGGCTGAAGGCAGGACTCCACAGCTCTCAGTGGGTCATGGCAGTTTGGAAAGAGCACCAGGTGGCCATCAGGAAGCTCAGGTTCAGAGCCCAGTTCTGCTTCTGCCTAGCTGTATGACCTTTCCCAAGTCTCTTATTCTCTCTGGGCCTCAGTTTCCTGGGTGTCACTAGAGAGGGTGGAGCAGGTACTCCTTGAGGTTATTCCCCATTTCATGGCTGTATTGCCCATAAGGAGGGAAGCTGTGAACACAGTACTGTGTCTCTGCCTCAGTTTCCTCATGAGAAGGATGGTAATTCTGACTTCATGGGCTCCAGGAAGCTCAAGCAGAATGCTCAGCCCACGTAAGCAATTGAGCCATGCTGATTATTAGTACTGAGAAGAGTATCCATGATACTGGGTCCCTTCTCTGCATCCAGTGGGGATTACTGCTTCCCTGACCATGAATTTCCTGTCTCCCATATTACCATGTTATCTATACTCCTATCAAGCCATGCTCCAAGAGCCAGAGAAAGGTGGTAGCTTGCATGCAGGCAAACACAATGGCCTTTGTCCTAGCAATATTATGCATATGGAAAGGAGGGACAGCTCTGGCCAAAGTGGCATCTGGTCAGGTGTTGTTATTACCTACCAGGAGATCCTAGAGGTCTAAGGAGGGGCCATAGACAATGGAGATGGAGAGTCTGGGTCCCTTCTCAGCACCTGACCTGCCAGGAAGACAATGCTGAAACACATGGAACCACTAGGGGACAGGAGACAACACCTTATTTTCTATTGTTGCTCCTTCTTTGTCCCTCAAGTGACCTGGCTTGAGAGGCAGTGTTCAGGTCACAGATGTCTGGAAAGTCAGGGACCTGGGTGGCTGCTTAAGACATGGGTGGACATCCCACTTCTGCCACCAGATATACAAAGATACAAAGCCAACCCGAGCATGACCTACTAGGGGAGCAGCATGGTCCCTGTGGCCTGTGGGTAACATACTGAGGGGAGTAGCTGCAAAGCAGAGTGAGGAGAGCTTATTAAGAGCCTTAAAAGCCACTAAAGGAGTAAGGTAGCAGATAGGCCAGTGGATAGGGGGCTTCAGGAGATTTTAATTGGGACCTCCAGACCTCCCTTCCTGAAGGGAAAATGACTAAGAGCTTAGCTCCTGAGATTCAGACTCTAGAATATCCTCCCAAATTCATGCTGCTCCCACAAGCAGACCAAATTTGTGAAGAGAAAAGGGAGAAGAGCTGTCATACACAAAGCCAACCACCCAAAACAGGATAGGAAAGAAACTCAGCTCAAGGTTATTACCCTGATGGTTATAACCCTTGGAACATCAGAGGTCAAAATGATGCAGCTTGACCCCATTTTAGAGGTCAGGACTTCAAGGCCCCAGCCAGTGAGGTGACCTGGTCCAGTTCTTTAAAGCATGCCTGGCACAGGCCCACCCTGCACTGCCCCTGTCACGCTACCTACATGAAGAGGTCATTGATGAAGGAGGAGGCTGTGTGGCCTTCAAATAGTGGTTCCTCTCTGGTCTTGCTTTCCTCATCTTGAAAGCAGGGGAACTGGATTCTACCAGCATTTTCAAGGTCCCAGGGAATGCATTGCTAATGACTCAGGTGATCAGCCAACCCACTCACATTCTGAATCCCAGAGATCACGACCTGGTCTCTAGTGGTTTCTCCAGGACTAGCCTGTCACACAGTTTGCTCTCTACACTCCTCACCCTGCTCCCGTGAATCTCCACTAGGGAAAGACAACTCTGCCCAGAACTGAGTCCTCCTGCTAGCACTGCTATCTTTGGATTGGTCCTGTATGCACTCGCTGAGGAAGCCCACAGAGGATGCAGGTGGCGAATCCTCAGTGGGAAATCCTCCCTCTCCCCTCCCTAGGGTCCTACCCCAATACCATACCTTGCCTGTGAAGAGCGACCTTCCTGAGTCTCTGAAATAGTGTATTCACCTGCCCAGAGCAGGTACCCAACCACATGATGATGAAGCACCTTCCTAGTACTTCTTAGGCAGGGTGCCATTGCCACTGAGACGGGATTAATGTGAGGTGCCCTAATATTAGACAAGTTTGGGAGACATTGTAGGTATTTACAAGGAGCCCCTTGATGTCTGAAGATTCAGCATTTGCATTCCTCATTGTTTGAGAGTGATCCAAGGGGTCAATACTATTTTTTTTTTTTTTGGTACCGGGATTGAACTCCGGTCCTTGCGCTTGCAAGGCAGGCGGCGGAACCACTGAGCTAAAATCCCCAGCCCTTAAAATCTACAAGGACATACTAGTTTATAGTCAATAGGTTGGCTAGAATTTTATCTTTGTTTTTGGTACCTGGGATTGAACTTGGGACCTTGGGCTTGTGAGGCAGGCGGCAGAACCACTGAGCTAAATTCCCGGCCCAGTAATACTATTAATTATGTGTAATAGTAATTTTAAAATCTCTCTCATATATATATTTCCTAAGGTTGCAGTTAGGATTAAATGAGATGATAACTCTTCCTTCACTGATGACTTTGAGCAGAGCCTCTTGCCAGGCCCTGGTGAGAGAGCAAGCCTCAGGCCCAGTGAGTGAACCTAGCTGACCACCTACCGTTAGTGTTGCCACCAAAGCCTGGGAAAATTTGTAGGGCCCAAGGCATACCCCTCAAGATTGTAAAGCAGCATCACTACTGTGATGCAAAATGGCACTGTGCATCCCACCCCTACTGTTGTATATAGGTCACAGTGTAGTGGTGAGAAAGAGGTCTGGACTCCCAGGCCCAAGTTCTAGTCTCAGCTCTGCTATTACCCTCTGGGTGACCGTGGCAAGTTCCCCTCACTGGGTCTCACTTTGCCCACTCACAGCATGAAGGATTTATCAAGGCCAGTGGTTCTCAATGCAGGGCCTGTGGACCAGCACTTGGTAGCTTATTAGAAATGCATTTCTCTGGCCCCCTCCTAACCCCAGACCCTGTGACCCAGGAGCTTTGAGAGGGGCCCAGTACTCAGTGATATCCAGTCCTGATAATGGTCCTTCTGCAACACTCAAGTTTGAGAGCCACTGGCCTGGATGTTCTCTAAGGCTCTGTACTACTCAAACCTTCAATGGCCTGGGCTACACACCACCAGAGCAGCATGCTGCTGGGGAGTAGGAGGTCACTGCAGAAGAAGCTTTGGGGCTGTGCAGAAGACAGCCTGGTGCATGGAGGAGACCAGCCAGCTCCAGGCAGTAGTGTGGCAGCCCTCCCACCCGAGCCCATCCTGCTCCCCTCCTCCCCACCTCCCAGGACTCCTGAGGGCCGGGGACCACAGGTGGGAGGGCTGGCTCTGCCCTCTCTATTCCCCCTCCACCTCTCCAGAGTTCACAAGATCATCCTTTTCTCCTTAGAAACCATTTTGAAACTGAGAGCCAGAGAGACCTCTAGTGGTCAAGGGACAACAGGGCTTCTCCTGCTGTTTTGGGGTTATGCTGAGCATAGTTGAAATACGGCCATTTTAGGAAGGACTTTTGGGCTGCACATCTGCTCTGACCTCAAAGTCCAGCCTGAAATTACAAGGAGAGGCCCCACCCAAGCCACACCTGCGGAGAGGAGGCAGGTCACTGTACCCACAGCCTCCAGCCAGCTGGGGAAAACTACAGGATAATCTGGACAGGACTTTGTGTATCCCAGCTGCTGCCACCTCAGCCAGGCTGAAAGGCTCCTTAAACTGGTTTTCCTGAGTATGTAGCCCTTAGGACAAAAAACCCAGTATGTCAGTTTTCCTTTCAAGCCCACCACAGCGTGTGTTGTCTCTTGTTCATGAAAGCCAACTCTCTTTGGCAGCCCTGGACAATGGGGATTAATGTCCGGCCCTTGGTTCAGCTCTGTGCAGAGAGATTGCATAACTTGCTTAAAATCACCCAGCAAACTGGTGGAGTCTGCAGCTGGGGCAGGAACTAGGGGCCCCACCCTGTATATACCATGACTTACCTCCGAATAATACTCGTAAACCCAGAGAAGCTTTGTTTTAGATTAGCCTGCATTCTTGTTGCACCTGGCTCTTTTGTAAACCCTGAAATTTTCTGTAGACAAAGAGGAGAGATCCCAGGGCTTAGGATAAGAAACCACAGTGCAGGAGACTTGAACAAGGTGTGCCGTGGCTTCTAGAGCCCTGGATTAGTGTGGCGGACAGATTGCTACAGCCCAGGGGCTGGGATGGGACCAGGGCTGCAGACAAAAGCACAAAACAAGGATGAGCCCAGAGAGAAGACTGCTGCCTGGAAAGTGAGATTAAAGATTAAAATACAATCTGGTGTCTGCAGAAGTAGCCACACCATGAAAGCCCTAAGGCCGGAATGCTGACTTTGGGGGACATATCTCCCCAAAAGTCCATTTTTCGCATGTGAGACAGGCCCCTGATAAGCAATGGGAGAGTCATTAATCTCAGCTTGTATGTAAAAGGAGAGAAAGAGGTCTTTTAGGACACAGATCCTTCCCACGTCCTTCTAATCTAGCTGAGCAGACACACCTATTTAAAATGGGAAACAAATTTGGGACAAAAGTTGAAGGTAGATCCTAGAATGGGCTGCCCTCCTGCGGGTTGACACCACAGCAACAGGGAGTTTAACTGGTTCCTGGGGGAAGTGGGAGCCAAGGGTAAGGAGTGGCTCCCAGTGTTTTGTGTGGGGGCTAATTCCTGGCTTCTATACCGCAGGCAGGACAAACTGAAGATCCACATGCGGAAGCACACGGGGGAACGGCCCTACCTGTGCATTCACTGCAACGCCAAGTTCGTGCACAACTACGACCTCAAGAATCACATGCGTATCCACACCGGGGTGCGGCCCTACCAGTGCGAGTTCTGCTACAAGAGCTTCACGCGCTCTGACCACCTGCACCGCCACATCAAGCGCCAGAGCTGTCGCATGGCGAGGCCCCGGCGCGGCCGCAAGCCCGCCGCCTGGAGGGCCGCCAGCCTGCTCTTTGGGCCCGGCGGCCCTGCGCCGGAGAAGGCGGCCTTCGTGATGCCGCCCGCACTGGGCGAGGTGGGCAGCCACCTGAGCAGCGCAGCGGTGTGCCTCCCGGGGCCCAGCCCCGCCAAGCACTTCCTGGCGGCGCCCAAGGGCGCCCTGAGCCTGCAGGAGCTCGAGCGCCAGTTCGAGGAGACACAGATGAAGCTGTTCGGGCGCGCGCAGCTGGAGGCCGAGAGGAACGCGGGGGGCCTCCTGGCCTTCGCCCTGGCCGAGAATGTGGCCGCCGCGAGGCCCTACTTCCCACTGCCTGACCCCTGGGCTGCAGGCTTGGCCAGCCTCCCCGGGCTCGCCAGCCTCAACCACGTGGCCTCTATGTCTGAAGCCAACAACTAGGCTGGCCCTGATAGACCTGCCCCACCGGCCCTGTCCCCTCTTACCAGGCCTGACTGCCCCCTCAAGTGGGTGTGAACTTCACATTTTACAAACACAAGAGGAATGAAACGATATATATTAGCAGCCATGGTTGTTCTCCAGGCCTCCGAGGGCAGCGCCTCCTTTTCGCTGGTGTCAGAGATGGGCATCACTTCTCAGGGGTCTGGAGCCTGGGGCCACCTCTCCCTGGCTGTCTCTCTGTCTCACACAGAAACTTACAGAGGCCATGCCACACCAGAGGGCCCTATGCTGGGTGCCCAGAGCACCTTGGAGCCCTGGGGTCTATAAGGAGGGAACTGTTACTCCTGAAAGGGGGCAGGATAAAGGAAGAACAAGAGTAGGGTCCTGCATATGCAACTTGATCGAGCCCTACTGTCTGACAGGGGAATTCCTTCTAGCACTGCTCTGGGGCTCATTTTCCAATGCCCCGAGGTCTGGGATCCTTTAGAGCAATGACCATTTGCCACATAAAAAGAGATCCCATTGACAGCAAAACGTCCAGGGATAAGGAGCCAGCTGCTGGAATCTGGGTCCATGTTTCCCATTTTTCCCCAAGGACAGCTGTGTCCTAACAGGTCAGCCCTCTGTGCCTCTGTGTCACCTACTATGAAGAAGTTTACTAATTTAGGTTCCCCTCCCCTAGCTCCTGCACCTATATACACCTGTCCTCCAAAGAGGATCGTGGAGAGGTAGGAACTTTACACTCCCAATTTCCCTGGTGAAAGTTTCTCTTACTGGGTACTTGGTTTTATTACCTCCACCTCAACCTTATCATACTAGTACAGGCAAGAAATGTGGCCAAAGTAGACAGGGGGAGGGTATGAGGTGGGTGTCACCACTTGTCCACAGCCCACAGGCAGCTCTGGGGGACTCTAGGCTGCCCCAATTCCTGCAAGCCCTGTTTTGGTCCGCACCCCAGGGAACACCCATCAGCATTTGGCCCACTCCCACATGCCATCTCCAGTGCTGTACAGAGTCTCTTGGGGTTCCTGGGGCCAACGTTAAAGGGACAAGGCCAGATATTTGTACCTGACAACTGCCTCCCTTCCCACAATTCTTGAACCTAGACAAAGCACCTGGTTACCCAGGGTTCATCTGTTTGCTTCTTGAGGTAGGGGTTTCTGTAGGCCCCAGCCTTAATGATGATTGCCCCCTTTGCAGTATTTGAGCCTCTCCCTAGCCCTTTCTTCCACCCTCCAGGGACAAAGTTCCAGTATTTGGCTTCTCTCTTGACAGAAGTGCTCAGTATGGGCAGAGGTCTGGGGTTTCAAGGGCCCTGTGTCTTAGGAGGTCATACACTATCCTGCTCTGAGGTTGATGGCAGGTCCAGAGAAGGAAGACAGCTCTGCTGGCCCAGTGCCTTCCGGACTCTGCTCCTCTTTTCTTCCCTGCCTTCTTTCTCTAGCTGAGTCTACTTTGATTGCTCAGTATCCTGGAGAGGAAAGTGTACCTGCGCAGAGGGTCCAGGACTGCGCCCCCCCCCCCCCAGTCCCCAAGCTGTGGCACAAGAGCTTGGCTCTTCTTATTGCCTTGGCTTTTTTTCCTGAGCAAACACAACAAACAAAAAGGCCAGAGAAGACCACAGACTCTGTTCCTCTCACAGCTCCCCAGAAGAGACTTCCTTATGTCACCAGATGCCATTTCAGCCAGGTGGAAACCCAGGCACCCTCTGCAGTCACCTGCCTGGTAACCACCTCGAAGATTCTTGTGTCCATTTCAGACAGTTGCTTCCGGGATCCACCAGCTGACTTGCCTGAGCTCCCACATCACCAAGGGACTGGGCTGATCTCAACGTACAAGGAAAAAATGAACAAAGTGGAATCCAGTGGTGTTGGGGCTTTTGTTTTTATTTTGTAAAGGTAATGACTTCTTATAAACTCAATTTTTCAGATGACTGGTTAGTTCTTTTTGTTTTTTCTTGGCTGAAGTTTGGCGTTGTACATTGTAAAATATCCAAAGATGTCAAGTACTGTATGATGAAGAACTTGAAGCAAATGGGAGTGCGGGGGGTAGGGGTGGCTGTTTTATTTTGTTTCAGTTTTGTTTTGTTTTGTTTGAGTTTCTGATTTCCCTGTCTGTCTGTGGGAGAACTTTGGAATTTTTTCTATTTATAACTCTTTTTATGTGATTGCTCTATGTAAAATGACACTCAACAAAGTTTGCCTTAGTGATTCAAGGGACAATCTTCCATAACTTTGGTTGCACGCAGCATCCTGCCAAGAAACTCTCAGCTAATTTTCTGGCCTATTTATTAAACAGTATTAACTGACTTGATTAAATCATATTGAGAGTTGCACTTCTCTGAGATGTCACCGCTGGAGGTTCCTAGGATAGCAACAAGCCTATTTGTAGAAGTTTGGCACTTAAGGTATACACTATTGGGTGTTATACATTTCAAATAATCTCAAAGATGCCTTTCCAAAATACCCTAAACCTTTGACCTTTGACCTTTAATCTTCGGAAGCGCAGTGAGCCAAAGCAGCCCTGCTTGCTTCACTCCAGGTTCAAAGTGAATTCCCCCTTTTAGGTCACATTTCAGGGGTCTGTGGGTGTTGTGTGGTGGGTAGACCGAGCTCAGTTCTTCATAATTTCTTATACTGCAGCTTTGTGAGGCACTGGATAATGGTAAGCTACTAGGTGTCTGTGAGCCTGCACACAGGTTTTGTGTGTGTTTTTGTGTGTGTGCACGCGCTCACGCAGCCTGGGATGTGTGAGCACGGGGAAGTCCCAGGATTGCTGACTGTGTTAGCCTAGTTGGTTGTACTAGTTCCTTGGCATGGTGCCCAAGCAGCTTCTAGTGGGCTCTACTGCCATACTGGCCTCTTCCTGTCACCCTTGGTGTGGAGTTGAACTTCTTTTTCTTGGTCACCTGAACTTCTTTCCAACCACAAAATACTAGATCCTGAAGGAGGTAAATTATATATATATATATATTTTTTTTTTTCATTGAATGGACTTCGCTCTGTTCAAAGCATAGGCCCAGAGCAAACTCTTTAAGGGTTAAATTATTATTTGAACTGCATTTTCTGGATAACCAAGGACTAACCTAGAGCCTCCTTTCTATTTTCAATTCCTTTTCTTGCTGTGGTAGGCACTTTATGTGGAGCATTTCTTGGTGCACAAAAAGAACAGGTCTGGATTTTCAATCCAGATTCCTGAGCTGTGTACCCTCAAGCTAATCACTTCTCCACTCTGGTCCTCTCTTTCTTGACCTCTTGTACTAAAGGAATTCCCAAGTTCTCCACCCAAACATCCCTCAGCAGAGGGCCCAGCAAGTTGGCCGACTGGGGGGCTGAGGTCTAAAGAAACAGCCTGAAGCGACCTTCTTATAGGGTAATGCTCCTTTGAAGTTGCCTATTGCAGTTGTGAAATTCATGGCTCTGTAATCCATTACATAACATATGTGCATTTGTCTTCATATAAAAAGAATGTGTTGAACTACTTGCCAGGTAAAGTGGTTGGCTTTTCCAGAATCTTCTAGTGAAGTCAGAATGTTCCAGGCTACTCTTCAACTTTGAGAGGCCCTGGCTCATGGCTGATGGCTGGGGGCAGGCACAGCTGGCTGCAAGAACACAAGGCCATGAGACTCCACTGGCTTAGACTTTTTGGGATGCTTTGATGCTCATCCTGGGGCTTATGTCCACTGAGGGATGGGTGAAGATGGGGAAGGAGTGGGGAACTGGATCCAAACAGCCCCAACCTCCGGCTGCGCCTGAACTCATGGGAATAAAATCTTTTAGCCCCACCTAGGTGAGAATTCTATGGTGGCCACCAAATATGGCCCCAGGGTGCTAAGGGGGTTGGGGTACTGACAACAACAGACCTTCAGGAAAAAGAAGGGGGAGTGAAGGGAGGAGAACGAGGCCTCTGAGGACAGGCCAAAGAAGCATGCACACCTTCCCCTGGAGAAGAAGGTTTAAGGAGCACACTGAAACAGAGCCTGGGGCTTCTCCATGTGTGATGGATGGGAGAAGGGTTTTGCCAAGAATTTAGCCAACTCAACCCAATAGCAGAGAGATTCCAGCAAGCAACCAGTGCCCAAACAAAGGTGACTTCTTAGCATTTGGAGCTGTCCTAAAGCAGAATGGGGTCCCTGAGGAAGGACTGAGCTCTCTGTCATTGGAAGGGCTCAATCTTTCAAGAATGCTGGAGGGTAGATTCCTGCACAGGAAGGAGGGCCTTCTCAATGGCCCCTTGGGTCCCTCCTACCTGGTCTGTGAAAGGCACACATGTACCCTCTATGGCCGTAGGAGGACTGCCAGAGAGTGGTGACAATAAGAGTCAAGGCAAGTTCACAAAACCAATTTGCTGGCCCAGGACTGTGTGCACTCCCCACCCCAGCCCCACTGATGACCTACTGCAAGTGAGGGCCAGAGAAAGGGGCTGCATAGAGAAGGCTCCAACACTCATTTAGAGCTCCCAGTGAGCGACCTGAGAACCATAAGGTGATAGGCAGTGAGGCTGCCTGCCTGTCAGGCTCCCAGGAAAGTATGGCCCCAAAGCTCATCCCTGTCCTAGCAGGAGAGGATCCTCCTGCCAGCCTCTTTACCACCCCTTCCTCCTCTCCCCAGGACCCTTGCTAGCATCTTCCTGAGGGTCCTCTGAGCTCACCAAGAATGAGAGCAGGCAGTGGGGCATAGGAGGGAACACTGTCAGAGAAGAGCACAGCAAAGATGGTCTCCCCAGAGTGCCAGGTGGGATTAGGCCTGGGGATTGAGACTCTAGCCAGGGGCCTCCCAAAATCCAGTCCTTCAGGCACTAAGCCATGAACTTGGCACCTTTGCTGAGCATCAGAGACCCTAGATGTCATGGAATAAATTCTAGAATCAGAAAGGTTTGTAACCAACATCACCTCCACTTCCAATCCCCCTGCCCCCCACCGAATCCTACTTTCTCCTGACTTCCTATTCCCCTTCTGACCCCAGCTGCCCCTCATTATGTGGGTGCCCTTCTGCCCTCTGCCCTACCACTCCCAACTGGCCTCCGGAAGAGGCCCTGACAGCTCACAGACTCCCCCTTCCGGCCATCCCTGCTCCTGTCATAGACCTCAAGCCTCCAGCAGCGAACAAGGACAGCTCTTTTGGGCAGAGGGGCCTTGAAGCCACCAGCACTGTATCAGCTACGACCCCATTAACCCCTAACCCACTGCCTGGCTCAGGAGGAGACCAGGAATGCAGGCAGCAAGTAAATAACCTGCTTCCCTCCTTTGGGGTTGGAAGGCTGAGGATTGAATCAGACAGGTGCTTCCATAAATTGCTGGAAGGATTCCCTGAAGACACCCTCCTCCTTTTCCTTCGTGACCACACACTGTACAGGAGGTGCTGTAGGGACCCCGAGCCTTAGTGGTCACATGGCCTGAACCCAAAAATTGAGCCCACAAAGGCTCTTACAAACCAGGGCAAAACCACTCAAATCTCTCCTGGAGAAACTGGCAACTGATCACTTTAGCTGCAGCCAGACGCCCCCCAGCACAGTCAGTCGGTCATCAGACAAATGATGCCCAGGCTGATGTCATCTCTCCTTGTAACACTAGGAGAAACACTGCTGCTGAACCAGCCACGACAGGGCCATTTCCCTGTGAGTCTCCCTGCTGGAATATTTATAACACACATTTATAACACACACTCTCATTTTCATCCTGTTGCTCCTCTGTTTAACCATGAACTCTGACCCTGACCACAAAAGCAAAAAAATAAACGGTGGATTTCTGGAATGAGGAAGGAAGATAAGAGTGAGTCAGACCCCTTTCCCATGTTACTCTAAAAATTAACACACGAAACACTGACCCTCTGGGTATCATAGGTGCCTGATGCCTTCTTTGTGAACTCTTACATCCATCAATCATCTTGTTCTTAGCCCTTTGAGAAATGTATCATTATAACCCATTTGAATCAGCCAGAGTTCCTAGGTAAATGTCAGCCCAAGTATGAAAGTTATTTATTAGAGGAAATTAAAGCTCTCCCAGAATTTCCTCAGGGTCAGAGTCAAGCTTGCAGGGTCACCAAGATTAGTCATGCAGTTTGCACACCGCACACCACTACTGCATTTAAGGGAGTGTCATTCACACCCGGACAGATTTGTTATATTTGTTAGACAATAGATGTGCATATCATAACAAATTTCCAGCAGGTGGCAGTAAATTGTGTCTAATTAGCAGCAAGTCTCCAAATAGCCTAGGGGAGCCCATGGCCTGGAAACCAGGCAGCCGAATGGGGAACATCCCCAAATCCCACAGTGTCAGGTTTGATTGATGCTGCTGCTGGACACAGATCCCACCACTCACATCACTAGCCATGGGGCCTGGACATGGGGACTCTGTCTCCATAGTCCCTCTGTACCACTTCACCCTGGAAAGCAGATTCTGCACATCCAACCTTCCCTGTGCTGCGCCCTGTTGCAGGAAGTCTGTGTGCTGGGGACCTGATTGGAAGAGTCAAGCTTCATGCAGGCCCATGGGGATTCCTGGATTCCACATGGGGGGCAGGGAGGGGGAATAATGTCATTCTCCGAACAGCAGAGTCCCATCGTAATCTTTTGCGCATGAAGCTCACAGTGGCAAATGATAAGGACGAAGCTACAGAGCAAGCTCTGACAGAGTGAGACTGGAACCCCAGGCCACCAACTTTCTAACCACAGCATCACACTGTCCCCTTAAAAGTCAAGGGCAAGAATGAAGCAAGAACACTGAGAGCCAACTTCTAGAAACAACTCATTCTGGCCATTTTTCCCCTGATACCTCAGCCCTCTGTAGGTCTTGGCAAGCACGCATCACCAGTACACACACACACACACACACACACACACACACACCCCAAGCCTAGGGAGCACCCAAACCGCCTTCCCAGCAGTGAGCTCTGGTCAGCATGAGGGGACTGTCCATGTCCCCTGTCCCTCAGTGACACTTGTGGCCCTGTGGGTTTCCCAACACATCGAGCCTCCCTCCTCAAAAGGGGCTCCTAGTCCAGTTGGCACAGCAGAGCCCAGGTGTGTGTTTTAATTAAATGGTTTTTTAATTTCCCATTTCCATATAACTCCTATAGGAGCCACATCCTGAAATGAAATAGTGCATTTTTATTTACTAATGCCTGGGATTTTCCAAGCAGGTGGGCCCTTGTCAGGATAGCAGTTGGGGGAAGGGAGGGGGAGAAAGGACACAGCAAAAGGTATGGATATGGTCACCCAGGGAGTGCAGTGGCCACTGCTTTATTTCTTCCTCCAGATGAGAGCTCAGGTGTCTGGAGAAGATTGGGAGCCCCCCACCCCGAACTGACAGACCCAGGCT